CGTGAGCGCACGGGGGTTGCAGGGAGCCGCGTAGCTGTGCACGCCTGCACGGGTGTTGCACGGCGCCGTGTCGGTGTGCGTGCCTGCACGGGTGTTGCAGTGGGCTGTGTGTGTGCGCACAGGTGCATGGCCGTTGCACAGGGCCGTGTCGGTGCCCGCACCTACGGGGTGTTGCACAGGGCTGTGTTAATGTGCACGCCCGCACGGGTGTTGAACGTGCATTGCGTGGCATGGTGCTGGTGTGTGTGCCGGCACAGGTACTGGCAGAACTATGCTGGCACACGGCTCCGTGTGCGTGCAGGGGAGGAACAGACTCAGGAGCCGACACGTGAAGCAGGGTGACTGCAGCGGGGGTGGAGGCGTGAGCAGCTGTAGGACACCTCTGTGGGGTGAGAGGCCATTTCCCTGAGCCTGCTGATGGCACTGAAGGAGAGGAGGCAAGAACAGCCTCAGGCCCCCTCACCCATCTTCACGTCTGCCCCGCTTTGCTCTCCAGAAGCTGCTGGCCGAGTGCCAGGACCAGCAGTGGTGCCAGTTCTCGGTGCACAGCCAAGTCTTTGGGCCGGACCCGTGCCCTGGGACACACAAGTACCTCATCACTTCCTACAAGTGCCGGCCAGGTGAGGTGGAGCAGGGTCTGGGCAACGCTACATGGGCTTTTCCCTGGCCTCGGCTGCTCGGAAAGGGGCGGAGAGGGGAGCCAAGATGCTCCTGTATCTTGCAGCCCTCCTCCAGCCCTGACCTTGGCAGCTCTCAGACCTTTGGCTGGGCTAGGGGAAGAGGGGGCTGCAGGTGATTCGGGATGTGTTGGGACACTCTGCAGTGTCACTTCCCAGGGAACCATCGGGTCAAGACCGTGTGTGAGAACGACAAGCTGAGGCTGCAGTGTCGACCAAAATCCATCCTGGCCATTTATTCTGCAAATTATGGACGATTCCTGCGGGGCAAACCAGAGTGCGATGCTTTGAACACTGGGGGACCCCATATAGGTATGCTGGAACAGTTCGAGCCAGAAACGGGGCCAGGAGCCATGCAGAGAGTGTGGCACAAGTATGCTGTCAGGCTGTACCTGTGCCCCTTGGCCCCAGCTGGCTGGTGCCTGGTGGGCAGGGGCAGGCAGGTCTGTCCGTGTGTCCATGCCCCATGTCTTTGCAGAGTGCTTGGCTCCAGATGCCCTGCGGAGGGTCTCCAAGAAGTGCCACCGCAAGAGAAACTGCACCGTGGCTGCTGACCAGGCCACCTTTGGGGACCCGTGCCTCCCCGGCATGAAGAAACAGCTGCGAGTCTCCTACACCTGTGGTGAGAGCCACCCGCGTGGCTGGGGACATGGGGGGACCCTGGCTAAGCCCCCACTGTACCCACCCTGTGCCATGCAGGCAGGGCCACGTGGCTCCCTGGGGAAACGGGGGGAGCTGTCGGGGATGAGCAGGATGGTGATGCTTGGTGTGTGCTCTCCTTGCAGTGCCCAAGCAGCTGCTGGAGGAGGTGGGCCCTGACACCTCGGACCCCTTCCTGCTCTCCGACTACATGCACGGTAACGTGGTGGGGAGGTTACACCAAAAGCAGTGCAGTATCATGTCCTCACCTGGGTGAACCACTCCTTCCATGGCCTGTCTGCATCCGTGGTACCCAGCGCTGGCACAAGCCCTGCATCTCCATCCCAGCATCACTGCCCTGTGGCTGAAGCCATCCATCAGTCAGGGCCCATGTCTGAGGGGTGGATAGGTGTGGTCTGCTGGGAGCAAGGGAGAGGAGGACCGGCAGGGGAGCATCCTTGCGGGCAGAGGAGCACTTGTGCAGGAAGGAAGGAGTGTGGCGTGGGGAAGGAGGCAGGCAGGGCAGGCAGCCAGGCAGTGGGGCACTAGGGAGCACCTCGTGTCTCAGCCCGCATCCCCTTGTTTGCTGCAGGTGGCTGGTACAAAGGGCCCAGGTTCTCCAGGCTCCGGGAAGACCAGATGATTTTTACTAGCTCTCTGGCAGCTTTTGCCCACCTTTGGGGTACGTGCCCTCCCCAGCTCTCACGCAGCACCTGGGGGAGTGGGACAGGCTTGGGAGGGTGGCTCAGGTCCCATGATGGCCCCCACTCAGCCCAGGGCTTGGCTCAGAGGCAGCCAGACCCCAGACATCTCCAGCAGGGTTGGCAGGCATGCGAGGAGGAAGGAGGGCACCAAGCGCCCATGCTGGGTTTGGGAGGGGCCATGTAGGGCGGGAGCTCAGAGGTTGAACAAGCCTCGAAGTCCTGCAGCATCAGTGGTCATGGTGCTGCTGCGATCCTGCCCACGGACCTTCCTTCTCCAACAGGCTAAATTATCTGCCCGGTCTCCTTCCTTCCTGCCCTGTCTGCAGGGGCACTGATGGAAAGCACCTCTCTGCAGGCAGTATTTCCCTTGCCAGGGGAAATTACCCATTTAAATCCCTGGCAAGATGATTCCTCCCCCTGTGGCGCCTACCCTGCATCCCAGTGGGAGTTTCCTATGGGGAAAGGGGCATTTCGGGACACTGGTGGGTGCTGATGAGGCTCTGGGTGATGCTCCCACAATCACTAGGGCAGGGTCTGTCCTGCCCCTGCAGCCTGGCTGCTGAGGGCATCCCTGGTCCCTTCCTCTTCCTTCCGTGTGCCTGGCAGAGGGAGTTTTCCAGGCACTGGTGCTCTGCAAGCTGCAGAGGCGGTTTGTACCTTGGTGTCTCTCTGCTCTTCGCCCCCCAGGCGTCCCAGAGAAAGTTGGCCTCTACTTTCTTTGCGGGGTCTCTGGAGGCCTCCTGCTCCTGCTGTGCATCATCAGCCCGAAAACGACCTTCCTCCAGGAGGTGGGGGAGGCTCTCAAAGACCCGGAGGTGGGGAGCAGCTCGGAGCTGAGCAGGACAAAGCTGCGAGATGAGCAGGATGAAGACCTTCCTGATGACAGCTCCTCGGACTCCTCCTTCCGCCGCCTCACCCACACCTACCGGGCCACCGACAGCATCTTTGGCCCAGAGCTGACGGCAGCCATGGAGGGAGCAGTGGAGCACCGGGGCCGTGGCGGGGAGGAGATCTGGATGCCCAAGGAGTCGAGCCCATACGCCATCCACAAGATCAAATCGGCCACCAAATAAGAACTGGAAGAAAATGGCTGGAGAGCATCACGGGGTGGAGACTAAGTGGGATCCGACATCGGAGAGACACAAGAGTTTGGACTCCTTGGGGTGAGTGGGCATCCTGAGTGGCAGCAAGGCCACAGCAGCCCCAGTGTGGCCATCAACCCACTGCTCCACCAGCCTGGAAACCTCTAACTCAGGGGTAAGATGCCGTCCCTAGGTGTGATTGAGGGACTGCGCGATGGCTCGTGGGGCCACTGGCTCCTTTGCCACAAACACACCGCTAACCCTAAGCTAACCTCCGCATTCTTGGCTCACATCGGCAGGCTCCAGTACTTAACCCTTCGCAGCCACGCCGCGCCCACCCTGAGCCTTTCTAGGCTGCTTGCTCCTGTTTCTTCTTGGGTACTGGCTTCCACCCCTGGTGCTGCAAGCACCCCCAGCACTTGGGCAGTGTGCCGGTGGCAGAGATGCAGAAATGGCCAGGACGCGGGGAGGATGCATGCAGAGCAGGTGGGAGAGAGCCATGAGCATCACCCAGCACAGTCCTACCACGCTCTGTGCCTTGCAACCCTGGTATCCCCCAGGGAGCTGCACCCCAGTGCTGGGGCAGCCAGCAGCTTGGCTCAGCGCTGGCTCTCACCTCCCTGCCGGCATCCAGGAGCTCTGTCACCCTGCGTTGCTCTGTGCTTTCCTTCATGCTTCCCCCACTGGCAGGAGACCTCCCTGGGTTAACTTGCTGGGGCTTTTTCCAGTAAATAAATGCAACAGCTCGTAGACACTATGTCCTTCCCTGACCTCTGCCATTAATAGTGAAAAGGGAGGATAAAGGAAGCAGCAAAGCTCAACCCTCCCTGTGCAGACCAGCTCCTTGCCTCCCGCTGGTGTTTCTGGCCCTGGGCCATGGGGAACAACAAGTTGGGCCTGTTTTAGGATCGGAAAGGATAAGGTTTTAGCCTGGGGAAAGGAAAGGAAAGGGGGGAAAAAGCAGTCCATGTGGATCCCATGAACAATGCTTACCTGCCCTTGCTCCTTCTCTTGAGCCTGAGGCTTTCTGTCTGGTAAGCAGTCCTGAAGCAAACATCCCCAAATGCCACACAGAGGGGCTTCTCAGCATCCACACGGTGCCAGGGAGCTGGGCTGGGGCTGGGGGCTGCTGCAGCTCCGAAAGGCGGTGTGGACTCTTCAGTGCTGTGGGAAGGGGCTGGATGGAAGCAGCGACCCAGCTCTTGTCACAAAAGGGACACTCCAGGCACCGATGCTCTTGAGCTAGCATGTAGCAGGGTCTATTTTTCCATCTGCCACCACACATGAAGTGCCTGGGCTGCACGCAGCAAGACGGGGCTGTGGGGGACATCAGTGCACTCATTAACCTAGCTGCTGGCCGCACTCTGTGGCCAGAGCCGTGCTGTGCTCAGTGGTGGATGCTCTCCAGTGCGGAGCCGAGTACCATGGCAATGCAGCAGGCTTGCATTTCTACTCCAACAAGGGGAGGCAAGGACTGGCATCCTGCCTGATTTGGGGGTTTGCTGAGGGATGCCAGCGCCCAAGGAGAGCTGGGAGGGCTCTCACCTCAAACCAGCCTCTAGCATCCTTAGATGACAGGCAGGACTGAGACCACAGACTTGCCTCTGTGCTTGGACAGCTGGCACAGCTCCTGCCATGGCATTCACCTCGCAGGGTCCACTTCTTGCTCCCCTCATCCTTCCTCCAGTACTCCCTGATGGCCAGGTGGGATTTTGGCACGTGTGGTGCGAGCTGCAGCCCCTGCAGTGGAGCTGGGCTTCCTGAGAGCCTCCTGACAAGCACCAGCACAGCAGCGCCATGGGGACTGGAAAAGCCGGCTTCCCCCTGCCAAGCCTGGGTGGGATGGGCAGACGTGGACCTGTCCCAAAGCAGGCAGCTTGCCCAAGCCCCCGCAGAGCCGCAGGCAGACTTGGATGGGGCTTTTTGGCTGGGAATCTTATCCCACAGGCTGATGCATCGTGTTTCCATCGGCGGTAGGATGCATCCCAGCTCTGCCTGGCAAGTATGCACCCGTCTCATATTTTTGGCTGGAGTGTGCACTGCTCCAACATGCACAAAGAGAGGCAGACACCTGGATCCCACAAGGATCCCAAATCAATGGCAAGCAAACTTCAGGAAGCTCCCAGGTCAGGGGCGGCAGCAGCAGCAGCACCAAGGGAGCTGGGGCGGGAGAGGACAAGTTGCCAAGAAGGAAACAAGATGGGCTGGAGCCACAGCAGCCCTGACCTTGGGGACTGAAGGTACCCAAGATCTGTGGGACCCAGCTTTAAACTCCCGCTGGCCCTGCTGTAACCCAAAGCCTGCCGTTTCTGGCTGTCAATAGCCCCAGGTCTTTCTGCTAGAGACGTGACAGAGCTGCCTGTACGCAGCCTGAGCCACCCTGCCTGTCAGCAAGGAGAAAGGACTGATCCTGCCTGCATGGCCCCTGGGGCAGCAGGTTTAAGTCCCCTCAGAAGCTGGCACTGGGATTTTTCACCAGCTGATGGGTTCATCAGCTCCACCAGCAACAGTGGCACGTGCATGTGGGATTATCCCAAAGGATTTCCTTGGGTTAAACTTAGGAATCTGGAAGGTTTTGCCGAGAATCTGCCAGCTGGGGGAAGCTCTCCTCTGCTGCAGTGCTGAGCTCTGCCGA